AAACTAAACTAATTTAATGTATAAAATAATGTTTTTCTTCAAAAGACTTGTAATTACTCAGCTAAATACTAGTATTTAGTTAGATAATTACAAGTCTTTTGAAGAAAAACATAAAATTGAACATTTAGAATTATATATATAATTATATTGTAGTATTAATACTTGTATTAATACTACAAGTAATAATACTTGTAATTTAGTACTACTACTACTAAATTACAAGTATTAATACTTGTATTAATACTTGTAACTTAGTAGCTAAACACTAAAAATATACAATTCTAGATCATAGATGAGTTTTTGACTTTATGAAAATCCCGGAAATTTTTTTCTTTGAAATCCCGGAAAATCCCAGAAAGTCATTTTCATGAAAATTCCGGAAAATCCCGGAAAAATTTAGGGTCAATAAATTGACGAAGGTATGTGGGTAAATTCTGGAACGTTGGTAAAGGGATAAATAAAGAAACTAAAAACTACTGATTAATTATGTTTCTCTAAAATGAAATATAATATCTCAGTTTTAACATAAGCAACCTGCAAAGCGCAATAATTTCTTTATATTTAAAATATAAAATGTAAGACAATGGAATAAATGTCAGGAATCAATACTTTTTTTTCTTATAATTTTCTGTTGTGAAGCATTCGTCAGCTTTTCTTTTTCTGCACTTTTTTGCATGATCAATAATAGATTCTTTAACTTTTTTGCACTGTTCATGTAAGGCAATTTTTTTTTTCCACATTGAATTTATATTTAAAAAATCTTTCTTCAACTTTTCTATTTTTCCGATGGAATTTAATTTTTTTATTATAGCGTTTGCTAGCAGTTTGCAAATGACCACAGATATTTTTGTTAACTGGGTCATGCAATATATCTCGCCTTTTAAAGTACCCTACTGCTGTGGTCTCATTTGCTAATAATTGATACTTAACTGAAGCTATAGCAGAGTACGTTTAAGTATCAAGACAGTTTGTCTTTTTGTTAACTATGGTGTTCATCATGCTGAATGATTGCTCAACATGAGGACTACTAAAAATACTTAAGCATGCCTTAATAATCATTTTCAAATTTTTTAAAACTCGATGATCTTTAGACATTCCCTTTGCGTATTCAATCATATGGGATGTTAAAGATATTGGAAGATTGTGTTCACAAATAAATGCGAGTGTCATAGCTTCTGCATTTGATGTCCTGTCTCTAAAACTTACAATAGGTTTAATGGTAGGCTTTACTCTCTTTGTGCAAGTACTGCCAATATGCACGTTATCCGGAGTGCCATATGGCAATATACACATATCTGTTTTTTTTAAATTAGTAAAAAATGACGACAGTATGGCTTCGTTGGACTTAATCATTGCGCAGTTTTGACGATGCATTTTAGACTTTGAGTGGCTGAGTAAAGATTTTTTACCTTCACTTCCATAATAAAAGTCTTTAATAAATATTGTTATATATTTCAGTGTTCAGTTAGAGAATAAACTTACTGCTCCGGCTTTATTTATCTTTGTAATATAGGCTGAATAATGCTAATCATTATAGTCTTTCTCTTGAAGCCAATTCCAGCGAAACTTGTTTTTAATATTTTTGCCTATCTCAGAAATGTCAGATAAACTCTTAACTTGCATTTTCTTTTCTTTCTTCTTGATAGTAATTTTTAAAGACAAGATCTTTTGCAAATGTTTAAAACGGAATTTACATCAATTAACTTCTTAAGAAAAAGAATTTCTAATATTCAAAAAAGTTAATTTGAATGAATTAAAAAGAAAAAAAATTTTTGAAAAAATTGATCTCGCGAAAATTTCATTTATAGAAAACATAATTGCTTAAATGCAAACCACGTCGTATTTAAAATTTTATATAACTTTTTACAAATCAATAGCAAAAAGCATCCGGAATTTCCCGGAAACTTAATGTGAATTTCCGGAATTCCGGGAATTCCCGGAAAAAACTCATCTATGCTAGATGTTAAATTTTACAAGTTTGCTTTAATATAGAACTAAATTTGAAAAGTTTTTTTTATCAAGAATTACTTGAGATTTTTTAACTTTGTCAAGTGGTAACTTTTTATAATTATACAATTAAGCTTTTATTTGTTCTTGATTATGTAGAGAATTGATTAAACCTTAAGAAAAAATAAATTATATGCATCTAGAATGAAAATGAATGTACAATACAAGATAAATTGTGAAGCATATTTGAAAGCCTCTACCAACATTTGCAGTAAAAGTGTAAAAAAAAATCATGGGTCGCTGTCAGCAGCTTGTGCTAGTGAAAGAGTTAATACTCTCATCTTAAATACTTATAATTAATAATCTCCATTTCTAATACTTATAATTAATACAGCAATACGTTACACGATACAGGCTTGGTCAGGAAGGCATGCAATTTCACGGCTTTATATGACCATGCAAATAATATTTTGTTTTGATGATTTGAACACAGTTTTAACATTTTAATAAAGTGCTGAAAAACTTATCTTAAAAATAGTCTTAAAAAAATAATGAAAAATAAAATAAAAATAGCTTAGTAATAAATAACTAAAACAAAAATAAAAAATAAAACAAAAACAAAACTTAACTAAAATAAATAATAAGATTATTCAAATTACCTTTATAATTACGTTTTTTTTTTTGAACTTTTACTAATGTTTTTATAATGTAAAACTAGTAGTGTCCCATTTGCTAAGTGAAACCCTTTTAAATAAAGTAACAACTTCCAATGATTTTTTAATAATTATGCACATTTAAAAAATAACAAAAAAATAACAAAAAAAAAAAAAAACTTCACAATTCTTCATAGTAATGTAAACAAAAGAAAAACAATTAAACTGTTTCTTTTGTCAGAAATCTAATGTCAGAAAGCTAATAAGGAAAAACGAAGATGAAAACAAAAAATAATGAACAAAACTATTCCTTTAATTGATAATTTAATTTGTTAACTTTAATTGATAATTTTTTTATTTTAAAGAATAAAGAAAAAAAATTATTATAAAAATTTATATATATTTTTTTTAACTTACATTCTTGCAAAAAAAAATTGGTTATATTTTGAGTATATTAATCGTGATTTTATTTAAAAGCGTTTTAATAATATAAAAACATTAGTAAAGATCAAAGTTATTTAATTCAGCTGTCTGTAATTCAAAAGTTTGTCTTTTTTTCATCTCAACAAAATCTTTTTGAGTGTATCAACTTAAATAAAGTTTATTAAAGAGACAATCTTTGTTTAAAGTCGTCGCTTATAAAATTTAAATAATTAAAAAATAAATAAGATTAATTATAAAAAAAACCTTATATATTATTTTATTTATTAATTATATAATCTTATATATATATTTAAATAATATAAATAAAAATTTATACAACTTTTATCTATACTTTAATTAAAACGTAAACAGTAACTGTTACATTATTTAAAAGCATTTCGCTAATATAAAAACGTTAGTAAAGATAGATGTTTCAAAGTTATTTATTTTTGACGTAATTAAGAATAATTTTTTTCAGTGCATTTTAAAAATGTTAAAAACTGTGGTGTCAAATTGTCAAAATAAAGTATTATTTGCGTGGTCATGTAATGGCGTGCAATCGCACGCCTTCCTGACCAAGCCTGATGATACCTATAAATATCTATTTAGTTTCAGATAAAGATATTGTGTGAGGAATATATTTTTTTTATATAAACATTGAAACTTGTATCACAGAAAAAACCTATTGTTCCTTCCCTGACACAAATTTTGAATGCCTATAACTAAAAATTTTGAATTCTAATAACATTGTCTTTACTTAAAGTTAAATAGGTATTTATAGGTAGTATGTAAGGTATAATTATACCTTACATATTACCTAATTAGTAAATTATACCTTACATAATACCTGATTAGCTTAGACTGTCAGACATAAAATAAAAGTTGTTTTTGTTAAAAAATTGGAATGGATTTATTTAAATTTATACCATATAAAACTATTTTTGTGGTAACTGCATGCACAAAAAGAATTCTGATCCTATGAACATAGAATTTACAAACCAATATAGAATAAAAAATTTCCCCAAGGATTGCCATACGAGTAATCATGTCCAAGCATTTGATGTTCCTAACCAAAAAGAATATGTATTAATTGTAGTCTATATTTTGCCACTGTCAAATCAATGAAACAATATAAAACAGTTTGCTCAAGTAATGGATTATTAAATGAGATTCAAAAAGTTAAATCTCATAGCTGCATGTGCGTCTTCTGACAAAGAAACAATTGAATGGTAACTCTGACAAAGAAACAATTGAGTGGTATAATCAGGACGGTGTTGATACCTCTGACCAGTGGCGGACTGGCCCCAGGGAGCACCGGGAGAATTCCCAGTGGACCGGCTTAAATCAGGTCGGTCAAAAATTTCAAAATGAGTGAATGCAAGAAAAAAAGGGAGCAGCTAAAAAATTACGTGATAAAAAACAAAAACTGATTTAATCAGCAGCTAATATATGTCTCAAATTTTTCTATACTTTTTTTTTCTTTGATGTGGGCCGGACAAATGTAAAATTCCTGGGCTGATTTAAAGGTTCAGTCCACACCTGCCTCTGACCATAACTGGCCTTCAATAATTATTGAAGAACATGAAACTCTAATACTTGAAGATCAAAGTCTGATTTGAGAACAAATTTAAATCTTAAACAAAAATTGTATTTAAAAAAAAAAAAATGAACTATTTCAATTAATAAACACTTATGAAAATTCCAAATTTTGTCTTTGTCACGTCACACAGGTGTTTTTTTGTTTTGTTTTGTTTTTTTTTTTTTGTTTTTTTTGTTTTTTTTTTTGGGGGGGGGGGCAGGGTTCTTAAAAATGCCACAAAATGTCACATAAGAAGGGGGGGGGGGGAGTTCTATAAATGCCTATTAAATCCAAAATGATATGTTTTATTATACTTTTACATTACAATTACATATAAACAACTTTTAGAAATAAGACTCATAATTTTTAAAAAAGTAAAAAAAAATCATTTTACTCACTGCTGACATTGTCACAACTGAATTATCATCAGTGACTGCTTCCTCTACCATTAACCTGTTAGGTTTTGCTTTAGATTTTAGAATGGCAGTTGCAATTTCATCACTAAATTAAAAAATTATAATAGCAATACAGTAACATTTAAACAAATTATTACACCTAAACTATTGAAAATATATTAAGACATGCATGACCAAAAAAGAATTTTCATATAATTTTTCAAAAATTCTTAACCACTTTTTTGTTAATAATTATTTGGTTACAAACTCTGAAACATTAATAAATGATAATTTTTTAAAAAATACAGTATTATTTTGTATTACATGAGTATAAACATTAGGGTAACTTGGGGTAAAGTGAACTAGGGGTAAAGTGAACTATTTTTTTAAACTAAAAAGTTATCATGTTTAAAAAACATTTTGTTAAGTAATTTAGCATTATTTTTGCTTAACACAACATTTTAAAATTTTTTTAAAAAAAAAGTTAATAAAACATAACCTTTGTTTTGATGTAATTTTAAAAATTACATTTTAAAAAGAGAGTTTGGCGGAAGTTTTAAAATTACGATCTCAAACTTTGCAATAGGTTTTTTAGTAAATTCATGATTTGTTGTTATTAATGTGAATATCAGTTATATAATTTATATACATTTTAAAGATAATATAATGCTGCTTAAAAAAAGTAGTAGTTTTTATCATAATATAAAAAAGCTAAGCTTTTAGTTTGTAAATCAATTTAGTTCACTTTACCCCTTGTTTTTCTGCCTATTGGGGGTAAAGTGAACTAGTCTTTTTTGTTTTGTTTTGTTTTGTTTTTTGTTTTGTTTTTTGTTTTTTCATCAAATATTTTTAGTAGAACTGAATATATACATCGTAATTACTTAACTAAATTGTTTACTCTTAAACTAAGTCTTTTTTTTTTAAATATTCTTAAAATTATTTTCAGAAATATAATATATTAAAATAATGCCAAGAAACTATATTAAGAAAAAAGAGTCTTGAAGAAAAACATATGCACCTAATTTATTGCAAAATGCCATTTCGAAAGTTAAAAATAAAGAAATGGCTTCGTATGCTGCATCAAAAGAATATGTTGTTCCAAAAGTACAATTGCAAGACATCTTCTAGGCATAAAATGTTCAAAAATTGGTAAAGGGTGACTAAACCAATTATCTGCTGATGCTGAAAAAGATCTTGTTTCACTTTTATCTGCATTTTCTGATTTTGGATTTGGATTAGATAAAAAAACAATTTATGAAACTTGTTCAAACGTATATTGAAATAAACAGATTTCAGAAAAAAATTGTGAATGGTTTTGTAATTTTTTAAATCGTTGGCAGAAAGAAATATCTAAAACTCCAGAGCTTTTGATATTAACAAGAGCCTTAGCTTGTAACAAAACTGTAATTGATGCTTGGTTTTCATTATTTAAAGCTACATTGGAAAAATGTGACATAATAAATAGATCTGCCCAAATACTAAACTGCAATAAAAGTGGGTTTTGCACTAACCCAATAAATATAAAAATTATTTGCAAAAGAGGTATTAAAAACCCTGTAACTATTGCTCCTGGATTAGGAAAAGAGCAGTTTACTGTACTAGCAACAATATCAGCTGCAGGAAGAAATTTTCCTCCATTTATTTTATTTGCTGGTAAGAATTTGTATAAAGAGTGGATGACTGGTGGACCAAAGGGTTCCTTATATGGGGTGACAAAAAATGGTTGGATGGAAACAGAAGTTTTCACAGAATACTTTAACCATCTTGTTTTATGGTTGAAAGAAACACCCAAGCCTGTTTTGCTTATCTTTGATGGCCACATGAGTCATATTTCTTTAGAAACTGTTAAAAAAAGCTGCTGAAAACCATATAACTATTTTGTGATTGCCAGCACACTGTTCGCATTTGCTTCAGCCACTTGATGTAGGAGTCTTTTGCCAAGTTAAACATGTATGGCGTGAAATTTTGGCCAATTGGTATACTGAGTCAAGGCTGAAGGTGGTTGGGAAATCTGTTTTTCCATTTTTATTAAAAAAACTTTATGATACCTCCTTTAGTACAATCGTTTGCCAAAATTGGATTTTTTCCCTTTGATCCATCTGCTATAGCATCTGACAAGTTAAATCCTTCTGAAATCTATGAACACCCTTTTTCTCAGAAAACAAATAATTATAATAATAACGTCCCTCAAAACATCTTTTTAGACACCAATGTCAATGATCAGAACGATACTTGTGAAATTTTTTTTATTGAATCAACAAATAAATACAATTAGACCATCCAACTTGACTATTCGAATACTTGATATTCAAATATATTTGCATGTTTTTTGACTATTTGATATTCGAATATTTTTTCCAAATATTCGAATAATTTCAAAAATGTAAATCACAGTAAGCTTTGAAAAAAGTACGGTTAATTTCTTTGAAATAAAAAACAAATCTAAGAATTTTTATATAGAATATAGCCTTGACGTGGGAAAATTGCATTTTTGTATGGTTTTAATTTTGTGCGACATTATTTTTGTTAGTTATTAGAAAGCAGTCGGTTATTTAAACTGCTTAGCAAATATTTGTAAATTTTATTGTAAAAATTCATTTTATTTAAAATAATAAAAACAATACAATCAATAATTTTTAATAATACAATTTGTGCTTGCATACTTCTATAATAATAATTATAATAAGAATAATAATACTTCAGGTAAATTAAAATTTGTTAGATTTTCTTACATATATATTCACATCTTTGGTTTTTTTAGCTATGTCAAAAAAATCCGAGGTATGAAAGTTTTTTAAGAAAGATGAAAAAAAATTTGGTGAAGCCACATGTGTACGTGCAACACGAACATTGGATGGAAAAGTTCAACCACTGCTATGATTAACCATTTAAAGCTACGACACAACATATTGATATCTAAATCGGTATCAAGTGAAATTGATGGAGAAAATAATATTCCTAAGAACAAATAAAAAACTGAAACAAGTACTATTTGGCAATTTGTAAAAAAAGAATCTTTAAATGAAATATTGTCAAAAGTCGCAGCTGTTGATGGAATGGCGATCACGACAATTAGTAAATCTCAAGCTATAGATGTTTGTGTGCAACAAAAAGGTTATAAAATGCCAAAAAGTCCGACAACTATTTCAAAATGCATCAACAGCTTTTATAAAGAAAAATTTATTGAACAGCGGGACAAATTTCAAAAATTAAAAACAGCAAATCGTAAATTTGCTATTACAGTGGATGAATGGACAGATTGCACAATTTTACGTTATGTAAACGTAACAGCTCATGTACTTGGAATAAACTCATATACAATTGAAAGCCATGTTTTGGGTTTGATGGAAATAATTAAGCAGGGAAATGCTGAAACAATTAAACATTTAGTTGAAGCTAAGTTGGCAGACTTTGGGATTCTCTTAAAAAATGATATTATTGCATCAACTAACGACGCAGCAGCCGTAATGAAAAATATGGCAATATATTAGGTGTATTAAATCAACTTTGCCGAAATTATGCGCTCCATTTAGCTGTCATGGATTGTTTTTATATAAAAAATGTTATTCCCAATGAAGTGTTTGACAATACCGAAGAGTTTGCTGATAAAGAAATGGAAGAAGAAGATTCCATAGAAGATCAGTGCTCTGAATACAATTTAGAGTTTATTAACGAAAATAAAAATGAAATGACATTGGATATTGATTTTGACCAAATTATTAACAGGTTAAGAGGTGTTATAAGAATGTTTAATAATTCGGCTACAAAGCATTCTATTTTGCAACAAAATATAGCTCAAAAAATGGGAAAAAAACTTAAGTTAAAATTAGACATGAAAACTCGATGGAGTTCTTTGAGTGTAATGATTCAACGTTTTTTAATTCTATCAGAATGTATTAACAAATCCTTAATCGAATTGAATTTTGATCCAATTGCTGAAAATGATATTTGTGCGCTACAAAACCTTGTTGACGTTCTCGCACCAGTTGAAAATGCTGTTACTGAATTGAGTAAAAATGATGCAAATCTCATAACAGCTAAAGGAGTATACAAATTTTTGTTTGAAAAGTTGCAACCAATGTAAACAGATATAGCAAAAAAACTTATATACGCTATCCAAAAAAGGATGGATGAAAGAAGAGATCCAGTTTTAATGACACTAATTATTTACCTACAGAGTGGAAATGTACCAAGTTCTAACGATTATTTTAAATATTCGTCAAAAAATGCAGCAATTTCGTTCGCTGTAAAAATTATGGAACAAATATATCCACAAATGTTTATAGAAGAGCATATTAATAGTGATTCTACCTCTATCTGATGCAGATGATTTAATAGAATTAACACCACAAGTTGGACTGCAAAAAGAACTCCAAAAAGAACTCCAAAAAGAACTGCAAAAAAAACTCCAAAAAGAACTGCAAAAAGAACTCCAAAATGCAATAAGTTCTATTACAGCTCTAAAAAACTGTCATGTTCGCAATACCAGGCAAATTGATAAATATAATGAACTAAAGAAAGCATTTCATCAGTTTGATTTTTTCAAAAAACGATTGGATACGCTGGACGTTTTGTATAATCCTCTTATAACAATACGGCCTACTTCAACAGCTTCTGAAAAAGTGTTCTCAACAGCATGCGCAATCAAAACAAAAAGACGAACCAGTTTAAATCATGAAACATTTAATTCAATTTTATTTTTAAAATATTTGTTTTTAGAAAAAAAATATTTTAAATAATAAAATAGTTCAAAACTAAACGCTTTTCTTTATTAAAATATAACTATTTTTCTTTTTGTTAATATGTCTTTATACTTTTGATAAATTATTCGAGTATTCGATTACTCGAATATTTTAAGATTTTTCTATTTGATATTCGAATAGTTGAAAAGCTCGAATATTATGATGGTCTAAATAAAATTCACAAAAAACTATAATATCAATAGGAAAAGACTTAAACAATAAAAAATTAAATCAATTATAAATATCAAACGTAGATTTACTGGAAATAAAATCATAAGAGAAATAGTGAAAGAACAGTTAATGGCCACAAAGGGTAATGCTCGTTCATACAACAAACGACCTACAAAAAAAATAAAAAGACGTTATAGAGGTGAGTGTCTTACATCAGAAGATGCATTTAAAAGATTAAATGATGAAGAAAATGAATGCTTTAAAAGAAAGATCAAGCAGCAAGACAAAATACAAAATAAAAAAACTAATTTATCAGACATAACAAACACAAAAGAATTAAAGATGAAGTAGTTTACTTTACCCCAATGTGGGGGTAAAGTGAACTAGTGGGCATGTTTTTTTGAATATATATTTAATATTATAATAATTTTTAATATTAGTATTTTGTTTTATATTGTACCTAATACTTTAAATGGTATAAATTTTGAAAACTGCAAAATGTTTTGGCTTTTATTTTGAAAATATTTCTTTTAAATATCAAAAACAGTTCACTTTACCCCAGTTTACCCTACACTGCTATATTTACCTAATTAACTAGAATCTAATAATTAATTTTTTGAATTGATAATGATACTCAAACATTAAACTATTAAAGACCTGACTACTAACTAATATCCAAATATTGCGCTTTGTATAACTTTTAAATTGTTTATTAAAATTTTAATAAAATGTTAATAAATAAACTTGGTAGAGCAATTTTACAGTTATCATAAAATTTTGTTGAAAGATTACTAAAAATAATTTAAATGCTTTAATTAATAAAAAAAAAAGTATATAAATATAATTAAACTTAAAGTCACATTTATTCTTAACATAAAAATTCATTTAAGATTGGAAACTGCAGTTTAATGTTATCAATATATAATATTATACCTTGCCTATATATTGCCTTAGTAGTATGTAAATTTTGTGCATAATTTGAAGCAATTTTTTAGAATATCAAATAAAAAAATAGATAAGTTAATGAACTATTTTTTTCATTTTGAATTTCAACTTTTTTTTTCTTAAAAAGATCAGCAACACATTACGCATCAACTTAAAATAACATAAAAAAATGATAAAAACTTGGCTTTTTTAAGGTATAGTTTCTTTACAAACTTTCTAAAAGTTTTAAATAAGTTTTTATGGAGTTATTTTAACAAACTTTTACTCTAGTTTACTAAAAATTTTATCTTGAAAACTTCATTAAAGATAATTATAGATGATAAATTTTGAGCTGATACTTCTTTTCTTTTAATACCACGTATATTAATTTTTTAGTTAATTACAAACTTTTTTTTCAAAAGATACAAAATTAAAATAGAGGAAAAACTTACGTGCTTGTCATTTTAAAGGTTTTCAATCGTTTTGTTTGAAAATAAATTTGCTTAAAATGACAGTTAAAAATGCCAATAGATATCAACGTCGGAACTTCTGAATTTCGTGTTGAACGATTGTTTTTTGTTGCGATTTTTATAACTTTCGAGCAAATTGCTGATTCAGTGTTGTGTGATGCACATGCGCATAACAGTCATCGGAACTTCGAAATTTAGATTTTTTCATTACAAAATTAATTACGTCTACTTTTAGTATTTTTAGTTATTTAGTTGTACTTAGAAACTTTTAAACTCATTTAAAGATAAAAGTTGTTGTTGAACTAATACTAAAATGTAGGTAATTGACAGAGCAAAGTAAGTACAATTGATCGAGCAGATTATTTTAAAAAAATAGTACAAACGTCTACAATTAGTATTTTTAATTGTTTAGTTGTACTAACTATAAACTTTTAAAACCATACTAAAAAGATATTACTAACAGGTCAATTGTGCTGAACAAACCCGAAAGCAGGAATGTGTACAGGATGAATAATGGGAAAGATTGTTAACAATAGATTTTTTTTATTTAATAAATACTAATAAAGATAAGCATCAGTATGACTTATTATGCCTTATTAGTTCATAAAACCTTTAAGAATCGTAAAGTTCACAATTCATACTATTAATATGACGCGGTACAGTTTGATGAGGTAAGGAAATAACCAATTTGATCGTGTGACTTGAAAATAATGTCAAACTCAACACTCGTATGGTTTAGATTTTATCCACACAATTTATTCTATAGAATAATTTTTTTGGTTCCTATGATTTCCACTTTAGTAGCTACTAAAGTGGAAATCATAGGAGCCAAAAAAATGAATTCAAAAAAAAGGTTAAGTTTCTTAGGGGTCTTATATAAAAGAGGTTATTCAGAATTTAATTACTAACCATAAGCAGAAGTTTATTGGCTCCCTTCCGCAGATATTTTTATTGGACATATTACTATTAAATTCTCTGCGCACGAGAGCCAACATTTTCCTACTTTTTGCCATTAGTTAAACTTAAAGTGACGTTCTTTATGAATGACCCCTTACACTGGAACTTACTTGATAATGATACAGTCTCAGTCACTTCCCAAAACTATCTTAAAGCAAATCTCAATAATTTAGGTTTTACAAGGATGGGCTTATTTATGGACTAACGTCTTTTAGCTTGTTTGATTTACTGGATTGCTTTAGCAACCCATTTACACTGCAGTACCGTGGCTTGTGGATTGGAAACCACCAAGCCAATTTTTCATACCCTTATAACAAATTCCTTCGGTTAACTAGAAATTTTGTATGTGAAGTAAAGAAATTAAAATAACTTGATTAAATTTAATCATTTTTAGACAATAAATAATGTTTCAAATATTAACTAATGTTATAAAATAAATCATAATAAAATGCCGTTAAAAATTTTATTTTTCTAACGGTTTTAACGGCAACTATTTTTTGGTTTAAAAAAAAGATCGCAAGCTTATAGACGCAATTTTAAAATCAAACGATAAGAAAGTCTTTGGGTTGCTAAACTTTTTTCAATGTATATCTTTTGAGTGTTCAGCGTGAATACAATACATAACTGCTTTTGCTGAAACATTTTCTACGCTTCTACTATGATAATGGTGTAAATTTCATGTTTATACTTTAGCATTAAATAAAGAAAAATTGCCTAAATTCGAACTAATATCTCAAATCACCCAAAGTTTGACTTAACATGAATTCGCTTTAGTTAAACATTCGTTAAGTCGAACCATTTTCCTTGGTCCTTTGGAAGTTCGAGTTATTGGGAGTAAACTGTATATTATATATAAAAATCCAGAAACAGATCACAACTTCATATAAAACAAATGTATCAGACAGCAACTTGGTGTTAACTGTTCACAACTTTAAAATTTTTCAAGCATAAAGGCAAACATTCTGCGTGAGATCAAATTCAAGGAGTTGGTCAATGATTTGCAAAGAAGAAAGTGCAAAAAGTTTCACTGCTTTAAAAATTGACATTGAAAAAATGACATTTAATTTCTACTTAATCATGTCTTCAATATAAAAAACAAGTCAAAAAATATTCTCTTTGGTTGATGGGGGTCCTTAATTTGATGGGGATCCATAATACAATCAATAACTTAAACTTTCAAAAATTAAAGATTTTTAGTGTTTAAGATAAGTTTCAGAGTGAACATTAAATTTTGTAATATTGGTGTCAAGTAAGATTTTCTTATAACAAATTACGGTGATTAGAGAATTTTTTTTTAGATGAACTTTTTTAGAATTTTCCCGATGAATTTTGATCTAGTTTAAGATACTTAAAAAAAACAACTAAATATATAAAAATGCTTTAACACTGAAACTAAATATATAAAAATACTTTAACACTGAAAAGATATGATCTTAAAGAATTATATCTTTTGAACGGTAAAATATTTTCTAGGTAGGGTGAATCTTTCACTGTTGATTTAATATTTCAAACCTAAAGTTTAGGAATTTATAAAAAATAAAATTAAGAAAAAGAAATTGCTAAAGTTTCAATAATTCTGAATATTTCGAAAGAGGTCCAGATGCCTTTAAATGGAATGTCTCCATAAAAATCCTAAAAAAGTATGATAAGTACAGTCTCTTACAAAAGTTTAGAATCAGTAAAGTATTTTTAGATAAATCCATAATTTATTGGAAATGACATAAATAAATGAAATACACAAAGCTAAGATTTAATTTATGTTATATACATACATGTGCATGTATATAACATTATAACAATGTTACATTGTTATAATGTTACATACACATGTATGTATATAACATAAATTAAATCTTAGCTTTGAGTATGTCATTTGTGTATATCCTTTTCAATAAATTATGGATTTACCTAAATATTCTTAACTGATTCTAAACTTTTGCAAGAGACTGTAAATGCGGGCATTGCCAATTAACATAAAACTATTGCCAAAGGAATTCAAAATTTTAAGCAACTCAGTTAAGTCTTGATTTGGACGAAAACTGCATTATGACTTTCAAACACACATAACAACCCTTGAAGATCACTACAGAATACCTTGTGATCGACCAAAACAGAAAAAAAGCCGAAACCAAAACAAACCGAAATTTCGGGCATTCTAGTTTGTTGCCGAAACCGAAACCGTCATTTTGGCAAATATTTTAGCGAAACTGATACCAACATTTCGGTTGGTCAAAATTAATTTCATTAGAAAAATTTAACTATAAATGCAATTTTACATTTGTTGTTTTTTTATACTCATATTATATGTTAGAACTGATTACACGCGCATCACAAATTGAGATTTAAAACACAAGTTGGCGAGTTAATAGCAAAAGTTAACACCTGGCAGGTTTTCTCTACAAAACAAGTTTTTTTTCGAGGTATTTCGTGAAAATTCTCAAAATTTTTGTGAAAATTCTCAATTATTTTGTAAAAGTTCTTAATATATTTTGTGAAAACTCTCAAAAATGTTTTTCTAAATTAGATAAAAGGTTCAAATCTTACAATTTTTTTGTTTTTCTGTATGTTTTTCAATCGAAATTTTGCCTTAGTTCCTGAGTTTATAAAAAATACAGAAACCAAAATTTCGGTATCGGTTCAAATTGAAATTTCGGCCGAAACCGATAGCGAAACAAAATTTCGATTGATCACTACTACAGAACATTTGTTGAAGATTATGGAATAACCATTTTTTTTGAAATTTATTTTATTTTAAAACATGTAGGTGCTTTTTGTGCAGTAAAGAGGATTGTTAAAACAATTCATTACATCTTTCTTAATATATCTTGGATCATATTCAAATTTATAATAAAATACTGAAAAGTCAAATAATTTCAAAACTGAGTTCTATTTTCAAATTAGTATGCAAGTGAATAAAAATTTGTTGAAAAACTTGAATACTCATTACTTTTTTCAAAATTGGTATAAAAGATGTTATCATAGCGAAAAATGTACTCATGTAAAACAAATTTTACTCAACTATTACTGATGATGATAAAGTCAACGAGGGTGCCGAATTTTCCTCAGATGTTACGGAAGAAGATGAAAGAGATGAAAATATTTCTGTGAAAGAGAAAAAATCCATCATCACCAATCTGCGATAACGCCAAAAATTTAAAAAAAAGAACTATTAAAAGAAACACGTCCAGTTGCTGATGGATCCTATCTATTTTGGGAATGACTTTAGCAGTAAGTGGAGCATCTATAAATGATATTACCCTTTCTAAAACATCATTTTAGATTGTAAAGCAAAATCAGCTAACAGAATTGAAGAAGCTAATTAACTTAAGAAACTTGAATTCCACCTGAATTTTTATTTCCACCTGGATGTTCATTGGGATAAAAAAACTTTCAAGCTAGCTACTGGAAAAAAAAAAAGAGCGACTCATTATATACGCAGGGCTAACTCCTAAAATGCTAGGTCCTCTTAAAATTGCAGGCGTATCTGGTCAAACGCAATGTTGTTCAGTAAAGAACCAAGTTAATAAATGGCAATTAAAACCATCTGTTGTTGCACTTGTCTATAATACAACACCTGCAAACAGTGGAGCGTATAATGGAGCTTTAATTCTAATTGAAAAGCAAATTGGTCGTTCTCTACACCGACTTTAATGTAGACATCATATTCCAGAGCTCTTTCTAAAACCAACATCCAATGGTATTTGTGGTCCGAACAAATTACCAAGAGTTCAGTTGTTTAAAAGGTTCAAGTAAGAGTGTAGGGCTGGCCTCATGATCAAAATAGTTTTTATTTTAACAAGCACTTGAAGTAAAGAAAGGGCAATGTAATGCTTAAAGAGAAAAACATTTTCTCGTGAGTACTATTAAGAACTCTATTTTTTTTTAAAAGGGTTTTCGCATTCGGCATGCCGGTTCTGATCATCATGCATAATGGATGTCAAAGTTTATTATACAAAAATGTTTCTACTATTGAACTTTTGAACTTAATGATGAAGAAGCAAAAAAAGGTTGAGAGGGTGGCCGGATAAATTTTCCTTTTTTACTGAAAATACTTTAAATCTGTTATTACTGCTGTTCCAGCAATTGACCTGATTTTTTTTTAAATAACTAAGAAATTTAAATCAATCGACCTTAAAAGAGCAGAAGAAACAAGTCCCATGCCACTAGTATCATGAAAGTAAAAGGTAGTTCTAGCATTCTCCTTTGCTTTGCGGTACTTGTTTAAGAAAATACAGGAGATTTTTTGACTTATCTTTGTTTTTCATAGATGATATTATAATTTTATTATGTGAATCCTTAACAAGTAATTGAAGTAATGTCCACTTGAGTATACTCGGAACTCTTGCAGCCATTACAGCCAAGGTAATGGCGGTAAAGAGTCTTTCGGCACAATTTTATAAGGAAGTATAGGGAATTTATATACACATAAAGGTAATGACAAAATGTATCTTAAAATTACGCTAATGTAAAAATTGGAATTGTATAGCGTAACGTACAAACATCTTTGCGACTATCCCTAAATTACGTCAACAAAATAGGAAAAGAGAAAGAGGGAGGTCTAAATTCTCTTAATATTTGTTGATAGGAGGGAAGGGGAGATTAAGATAAGTTGACGTTAACAATATTACTTATTTAGTTACTTAAAAAAAGAAAATTAGGCAAATTAGGCAGAAAGAACCATACGAGGCTTGCAAGCCGCAGGTTTCCGACCCCTGGTATAACCGTTTAAATAATATAATGTAATCCATGCACTTACATAAATCTTTTTTGTTTGCGCAGCAGATACATTGCAACCAAATAAAAATTAATTTACTTTGTAAATTGCTACTTTGGGCTATTCTGTCTTAATAGGTTGCCGACCCCAGGTTTATACGATTCGTTAAATGCATTTTCTGTTACATTAAACTCTTTTAGAAATAATTGGCTTTTATTATGAAATTTTTTCAGTTAAAGTGAGGAGGATTGGCACATTGAAGTATTGCATTCACTTAAAATAAATTGAAAAAAAAAAAAAAAAAGTGTCTTTAGCATAAGTTGAGTTTGCGGAAGTTATACGTTTAAATGAAAAAAAAAAACATTTTATATATCTCATTTAAGCACTACGTATGCGGAAAAGGCGTGCTTGTTAATTTTTTTTTGAATGAATTATTTTTTTACCGTTTACTTAAAAACATCGAAGTAAATAAGAAATAAGTATAGAAATGATCGCTGTGGATAAGTTCTATACTTTTGGTTAATGGTCGGTTTCGTAAAGACCCGTGTTTTACGGTTGATGTGGAATAGACTTACAAAAGTTTATACATTTTTACCAGTTCGGTCAGCTAGTATAGATAAAATCAATAACTCAATAACTTTGGTTATGCTATGTTAAAGTCAAAAGAATATGTCGACTGATAAGTAAAGTTAAAATGCTTTGTACATAAAATACAATCATTATGATTTTAAAAAATAAGTTTTTTACATTGCAACCAAATAAAAATTAACTGTACATAATAAAAAAATTCAATAAAACTATAAAAAATTTATACTAGAATTCAAAAAACCGATAAGAGTTGTAACGGTTAATAAATGTAAAAAAACCATTCCGATATGAAATTTTTTCTTAATATTTAAATTTTATAAAATCTATTTATAAAACATCTATATGTATGTATGTGTGTGCATGTATATATATATATATATATATATATATATATATATATATATATATATATATATATATATATATATATATATATATATATAAATATATATAAATATATATATATATATATATATATATATATATATATATATATATAAATATATATAAATATATATATATATATATATATATATATATATATATATATATTTAATATAAAATATATTATTATTGTATAGTTTCCTCATTTCATTAAAAACTGTGCAATTAAATTGACAACACCAAGAGATATCAAAAATGTGTAAATCAAAATGCGCCACCATGTTAGCTGGCCTTGCGATTTATTAATTATCATAAAAACCAACGACGGAAGTGTAAAAATAAAGACTAAACCACTCAGTGAACCAACATATCTAAAATGAAAATGAAAATAAAAAATTAAATTGAAATTCATTTTTTTATTAAAAAGTTTGCTTAAAAAAATACGAAAACATAAAAAAATGTTTCATTCATCAAGTGGATATTTACTTTTTTGTTGTTCAATCGAACCATCAAGTGAAAATATTTTTTAATCAAATCATCAAGCAAAATTATTTTATTATAAACTTTAAATACTTTTTTTGCAATGTCAAATTAAAAATAAATGTTTTTTTTATTATCACAGTAAGCAAAATTGGATTTTAATATTTTTAGAAAATAATCTTTTTGCAAAGAAATATATATTAGATAATAATTAAAAATTATATAATGACTTATACAATTTTTATATAGTCAAATAAAAAAACAGAAACCCCTTTTTTAATAATATTTACGATATTACCCTATTGAATTTAGCTTCAATATTTACACATTAACACTATTAAAATAAAATAAAAAATAAATAATAATAATTTTATATTATAATATTATAGTGTAACATTGCTAAACTTTTTTGATGATTTGGTGATTTTAAAAATTTATTTATTAAAATTGAAATCATAAACCATATATTGTAATAGTATGCCATAAATTAAGACAACTTACACATAAATTAAGGTGACTTTCATAAAAACTAACTTTTATTCTAAATTTATGTTGATTGCTTCCCAGTTGGCAAAAAAGTTCACGTGAATATCTCACGATTAATTCAGTAGTTATATTCGCGTGAATATAACTAGGAGCACTTGTTCTCGTGTAACTAGTTTCCTTCACGTGCAAATAACTACTAAATTTACGTAAAATATATTTTACTGCGTAACTTAGTTATATACAACGTGCGTAACTTAATACAATATATATACAACGTGCGTAACATAAGTTTGACTGTTTGGTTTAGTAGTTTTATATCGCTGCTTTAAAAAACTCTCTTTAGTACATGTGCGTTGTAAAGACATTTTTTTAGATTTTTAATGTGTATATATATATATATATATATATATATATATATATATATATATATATATATATATATATATATATATATATAATTTGTAATTGCTCTGTTCTCATTGAGCACTCTTTTTGTAGAATACATTTTAAATTGTTTAAATATATATATATATATATATATATATATATATATATATATATATATATATATATATATATATATATATATATATATATATATATATATATATATATATATATATATATATATATATAGTTTCAGAATTTAAGTATTTATTTCAAAATCTCCTGCTCAATCAAATTAGTGGTAAGTGAATGTATTAAGTTTTACGTATTTCAAATTTTTTTAGTTATATACTATTTAAAAAAAAAAGTGCACAAGATCTTAAAATCTTCTGCACATTTGACCATGTTAAAATTTTTTTTAAAGTATTGAAGTTTAAATCTTAAACATTTTAAAAATTTACACTTTGAAATACGTAAATTCTAGAAATTATAAAATTTAAATATATATAAAATATAACTATATGTATATATATGTATATGTTATAATTATGTTTTATATGAACAAATTTTATAATTTACAACATTTATTAGTATTTATATAATTAGTAAAGTACGACTTTCAAAGAATTATAATACAATATATTACTTTAAATAAAGGCGTACCGAACATTCTTTGTTAAATAAGCCAGATGAGTTTTTCTCAGATTCTCTAAGTGATTATAAAGTAAAAACAAGTGGCGTAACAACAATATGAAGTACAATTACAACAGAATTAAGCACAAATACAATAATATAAAGTACAATTACAACAGTATGAAGTAAAATTACAACAATTAAAAGGGCAATTACAACAATATAAAGTGAATTAAGGGGTAAACAGATAAAGTGAATTAAGGGGTAAACAGATTCTATCTGTTGACCAGCCTCACACCCCTTCGTCATTTATTAGGCTGGCGCAGATGCATTTTTAATAAATTGTTTCCAGTTTAGGATGTTGAATGCTGGATCTTCTTGACTCGATTCATGGGTTTTGCTTGTGTCTCTGTTTTTATGACTAGGCAACTCATTCTATTATCTCCAAATGAGGGTACAGCTCTAAAACTCAGTTTAATGGTTCTGAGGCCGGCTGGTAGTCAGGTTTCCCGAACTCTGTGGTAGCTCTCAGAGAGACTGATTCCATCAACAGCTGAAAAATATCAGAGTACTAACAGTGCCATGTTGCGCATGGATGGTGTCCCTGTTTATACTTTTGGTGTGCATTGCCAAGGCCACATTGGAGCCCTTTGTTACGGCTTAGGGTTTATTAGTGGAAATGAGGCAATTGCTTAGCTATAGAACAGTGTACTGAGTACTATCTATGTTTCAAGTCAAGTTCTTTAACAAATTTAAAAATGAATAAAGTAACTAAAACTATAAAACACAAGAAACCACAGTCATCACCAAGTTCGCTAAATCTATCATTCACCAAGATTCGTGGTCTTCGAAGTAACTTTTCTTCTGTTGAGTCTTATCTCTTGCAAAGTTCACCAGACCTGCTTGCTCTTTGTTAGACTAATTTGAGTTCAGCTGTCTCATCTTGTGATCTTAGTGTTGATGGTTATCTTCCTTTGATTCATAAAGACTCCAATAGTCACATGCTTGGCCTGGGCATTTACATTCGTAAGAATTCACCCATTTGTCGGGAAACTAGGTTTGAATCCACAGACTACTCTTTTATGTGCTTTTGTTTAGCACCACTTCACTCTATCACCTTTCTCTTTGTTCTATATCACTCCCCCTCATCTCACTCTTCTTGATGTTATTTCTGATTATATTGACCAAGCCCTCATTCTTTATCCATCAGCCAATATTGTTGTTGTCGGTGACTTTAATGTTCATCACACTGAAAGGCTTGGCTCTAGTGTCAGTGACTCTGCAGGCATTAAGGCCCACAACTTTTGTCTTTCTCAATCCCTAACTCAAATAGTCAACTTTCCAACTCACTTTCCAGACAACCCTAATCATTTACCTTCTCTACTCGACTTATGTCTTGTTTCTGATCCTAGTCAGTGTTCAGTTTCTTCACACTCACCCTTAGGTGCATCTGATCATGGTTTGGTCTCTCTAAAACTATTATCTCATTCTTCTTTACTATTAGAATCCCCCTATCATCGTACATCTTACAACTACCTTAAAGCTAACTGGGACTCTTTTCGTGACTTTCTTCGTGATGGCCCCTGGGTAGAAATCTTTCGTCTCCCTGTTGACAAATGTGCTTCTTACATAACTTCGTGGATTCAGGCTGGCATGGTATCCTTTATTCCCTCTCAACGATTCCAGGTCAAGCCTCACTCTTCTCCATGGTTTTCCTCACATTGTGCTGCTGCAATTGCCAATCGAAACCATTACTTCCATATCTATCAGCAAAACAATTCTCCAGAAAACAGACGCCTGTTTAATACTGCTAGGAACCATTGTAAAAAAGGTTTTGTCTAACGCCAAAACCCGCTATTCTCAGATCATAAAATCTTGTATTTCATCACAAAAATTAGGCTCTCGTGACTTCTGGAGAATCTTTAATAGTATCAATAATAAGGGCAAGTCTGTAATTCCACCTCTTTTGTACGGTTCAGACTTTGTCACCTCACCTAAAGACAAAGCTGAATCATCTTTTGATGCCACTAGTTGCGTTCTACCTGATATAGCTGTCAAACAGGTCGATCCATTGCTCGACATTCGTATCACTCTAGCTTCTGTATCTAAAGTGATTTCCCGCTTAGACTCTTCTACAGCTTGCGGTCCGGACAACATACCTGTTATAGTCTTGCAGAAGTGTTCTCCGGAGCTGTCGTCTATCTTTTCAAAACTATTCAACAAGTGCTTATGAGAGTCTTGTTTTCCAGCCTGCTGGAAAGCAGCATCTGTTATCCCTATTTTTAAAAATTCTGGAGAGCGATCTGATTCATCTAACTACCGTCCCATTAGTCTTCTTCCTATCATAAGCAAGGTTTTTGAATCTTTAATTAACAAACACTTAATCTCTCATCTCGAATCTCATAACCTACTTTCTGATCATCAGTATGGATTTCGATCTTCTCATTCTACGGCTGATTTGCTATCAGTAATATCTGATAGGTTTTATCGCGCATTAGATAAAGGTGGAGAGGTTAAGGCCATTGCTATTGACATTTCTAAAGTGTTTGATAAAGTTTGGCATGCTGGTCTCCTCCATAAGCTTTCTTCTTATGGTGTATCTGGAAACATCTTTAAGATTATTGAATCCTTTCTTTCCAATCGTAGTATAAAAGTTGTCCTTGATGGACAGCACTCTTCTTCTTATTCTGTAACCTCAGGGGTTCCCCAAGGTTCAATCCTTGGCCCTATACTCTTTTTAATTTACATTAACGATCTTCCAGATATTCTCACATCTAAGGTGGCATTGTTCGCTGATGATACTACCATTTATTCTTGTCACGATAAGAAGTTAACTCCCACTGATTGCTTGCAGGGGGCATCTGAGCTTGAAAAGGATCTCACTTCTGCTACAGCATGGGGCTTGCAGTGGCTGGTGAACTTTAATTCAGATAAAACTCAATTTTTTTCGGCCAATCGTTATCGCAATAATTTAGACCTTCCTATATTTATGAACGGTAATGTACTCGATGAGTCTCCTACCCTACATCTTCTAGGATTAACTCTTACTTCTGATCTTTCTTGGAAACCTTATATCAAACCCGTTGCAAAATTAGCATCTGCTAAAGTTGCTTCTCTTTATTGAGCTCGTCACTTTCTTACTCTGGATTCTATTCTCTATCTCTATAAATCTCAAATCCGGCCTTGTATGGAATACTGTTGCCATATCTGGGGCGGATCTTCTAATGATGACCTTTCTCTTTTAGACAAGGTGCAAAAACGCATTGTAAACATAGTTGGGCCTGCTCTTGCAGCCAACCTTCAACATCTGTCACATCGTTGTAATGTTGCTTCTCTTTCTATTTTCTACAAATACTATAATGGGCACTGCTCTAAAGAGCTAGCG